TGAGGGGGGGGGGGGCTCATAAAATGTGACTTGTTGCACCACCTACTGGTAAAAATATCAGAATTCTTGCTGATTTCTGCAAGAAGATGTTAATGCACATGGATTCTTGGACCAAATTTCATGGCAATACATATAAACTTTACAAAGCCTGACTTCCCATGAAGACGTGTGACCAACAGAAAACTGCTACGTCATGACCTGTTAGCTGAATTAAAAGCATGCAAATTTTTTATCTGTTGCAGGAAACTGGAGTAGATATTCTATTTCTACATTTCGGGTGCATGATATGTTGAATCATGTAGATGCAGCAGAGTGTGCGATTGCAGTAATATTACAACAATGACCACGGCTTTAGCGTTTCGTTTTTACCATGCAGTCTAATTTACTGCAATAGACTCTAAATGTGAAAACACAGGACAGTAAACAGATTGTCATAAACCTGTTCTTGGCCGCAAACAGTGAGCAAATCAAATGCTATTACAGAAAACAAGAGAAAGACAAAAAACAAACAGCGACAGAATAAGCCCAAAATAAGCCAACTCAACGTAAAATGAGCCGCCTTCAATAGAATTACCCACGAATGCCATTTCCTCCCCAGAGAAACATCTAATATGACAAAGAGTGCCTTTAGTGCTCCCCAAATGTTATTGGAGTTTTCTGGAAGGCTGCCCATGAGGGCGACTGGAGGGGTCACACATAAACCCAAGGCAGATTGAGAAATCACACCAATGAAGAACAATGAGGCAGTTCGAGCGAAAAGTGCTGGTTTTGCGATTTCACTTCAAGGAGTTAAACTCTTTATTAACCCTCCTGAGGCCATATTCCAGTACAGATATGATTTTACATCCAAAAATTGTCCAGCTCTAAACAAATATGTGAGAGGACAACAGGAGATGGACTTTTTCACTGGAAGAAGCGTTATTATGGAATCATATTTTGACAAGAAGTGGCAGCTTAAAGTTAAAAACATCATAAAGATGGATTTGTTGCTTACGAACATGAAACTTTTGGCTTCTCAAGACATTAACTGATGGACTGGAGTGGTGTGGATTACTTGTGGATTATTGTGATGTTTTTATCAGCTGTTTGGACTCTCATTCTGACGGCACCCATTCACTGCAGAGGATCCACTGGTGAGCAAGTGATGTAATGCTACATTTCTCCAAATCTGATGAAGAAACAAACTCATCTTGGATGACCTGAGGGGAGGACATTTTCAGCAAATGTTCATTTTTGGCTGAACGATTTAAAGCTACGTGACGCTGGTTCATTTTTTATAAGTCGAATGGTTCCGATCACACGTGTCCCGCAGGCATGAATTCAGAGCAGGAACTCAATTCAGGGTTTCTTTAAAGGGAATGAACGCACAACGTGTGCGATGTCACTAATGATACACTGCTGTGCATCTGTCAGGTGTCTGTGTGACAGGTTTGACTGACAGTGACGCGTCACTGCACACTTCTCCGCCAGACGCAAATCACGCAGGGCTCGTGATTGATGATGTCTATTTATATCAGAACCTCTGCACAGTTTGACAAGACCACACACACACACACACGCGCACTTTACAGTCCCTCAGCCACAGTGATTGATGCAATGCTGTTGATTTTCATCCATTAATCTAATGGAGGAGTATTTAAAGAGGTCATGTAATGAAAATCTCTGTCGAAATAAAGGAATTTAATGGAATAGTTTAAACAAAAATTTTAATGTAGTGAAAATGTACTAACCCTCAAGCCATCTGAGATGTAGATGAGTTTGTTTCTTCATCAGATTTGGAGAAATGTAGCATTACATTACTTGCTCACCAGTGGATCCTCTGCAGTATTTTAGCTGGAAGCAAAGGTTTCAAGTTAAGTCTTGATGGATTTGTTTCTTACAACACGCAGCTTTTGGCTTCACAAGACATTAACTGATGGACTGGAGTGGTGTGGATTACTTGTGGATTATTGTGATGTTTTTATCAGCTGTTTGGACTCTCATTCTGACGGCACCCATTCACTGCAGAGCATCCATTGCTGAGCAAGTGATGCAATGCTACAATTCTCCAAA